TAAGGTCCCATCCGGAGTCTGTCCACCTATCTGCTCTGGTGCTCCAGGCTAAGCCGCTGAGCATAAGACTGGATTTGAGCCCATGGCTCTGTTCTTGTGACGAGCCTTTCTGCTCAGCTCTCCACCCACCCACCTGCTCTTTGAAATAGATGGCCATTCCCCTTTTGTATCTCGGCTCAAAGGCCCCCTTCTCAACGATTCTATCTCCCTGGTCCCCGTATATTCCCCAGAAGTTATAATTCCTTTCATGATAAGGTTAAAGATGTATTGCACTTACTGGCTAACACACGTTTCCTTCACTTTAGAGTATAATCTTCTTGAGGTAGAGAAAGTGTCTTATCATCTTTGCACGCCTAGGGCCCAGCACAGTTCCTTGTGACACTGTAGGTGCTCATAAAATGTTTGACTCAATGAGCAGCCAACTGTCAGGGGATGGATCAGAAGCAAAGTCACCGTTAAGGTGACAAAAGACTCCTGGAAAAGTGAGTCTTATAAAGTGAGTCTTAAACTCCTGGGACACACCACAGTTTAAGCACCTTCTCATTTCTCCTTTCCTTTTTAAACTTATGTCCTTCTTTCCTGCTTTGAAGGTTCTAAGCAGAGCACTTTGAGTGTTAAACTGTCCTACACACACCTGGGGTCCTCCAGGCAGCCCCAGATGGTGGCCTTGGACAGTTGGTATACCAAGTCACTATGCAAAGGTAAACATTTACACCAAGAGTCCTCTCTTTTCTATGGCGGTAAGCGTGTTCAGGCCCTCAGCACATTTCCAAAAGCGGTGACGATGTCCAGAGCATGTTGCTAGGTGTTGCGTGAAGTATAATTCAGAAGGATTTTCATCAAGACCAGATAAATTTGTTTTTGAATTTTAGTTTTCAGGAAAAGCTATTTATCCAGAGTTCATTCTTACTGCGGATATGAGAGGGGCTGTGGAACATTTGGTAACAGGGTGGTAAGCAATCTTGAATACCTCTAGCACTTAACAAAATAGCATCATGGTCTGAAAGAAGGGATAGAACAAAAAAGCAAGAGAAAATATGGAAATGCTTAAATAAACCATCACCCATCCATAAAATTCAATACACTAAAGAAGTTAAAAAGCATGAGGCAGGTCTATGTGTACTAACTTGGACAGATCTTCCCAAGACATTAAGAATAGCAATTGTATAACAAGACATACCATTTGATAAAATTTATGTACCTCCTCCCCTCAAACACAACTAGTTATTTCTATAAGCACATATATACTGTATACAAATACATATAAAAATGCTAAAGGGATAAACATGAAACAGATTATAGTAGTAATTTGTAGGACTGGAACTGAAAGATCAAGGGTGATTTTTGCTTTATCCGTACTATTAAAGATATTTGCAAAAGGAAAGCATATGTGAACCACTTCCATAATATAAGTGAAAATAAAGGATTTTTTCCTTAAAAAGGAGAGAAGCAGAGAGACAAGCATTCAAAAACATAGTATGTTTTTGAAAGAAAAAATGATTTTCCTCATTAAGTAATACTTATTAAATATTGTGAGTTGGTAAATTTTTGCACCTGTCTTCTTACAAAAGGTCTGCAGTTCATGGTTCAGACACGATGCAGTGGGAAGGGAAAAGGATGAGCAGGCAAAGGACCTGTGTTCTAGTCCGTGTTCTGCCTCTTACTTGGTTCATCTCTTAATATTGCTGGATCTCAGGCTCTACAAAATGTATAAAATGAGGATAATAGTAACACTGAAGTCACAACACTGCTGTGAAACTGGTTGTGAGCTGCTGTGAGGAGGACATGTGCCATAGACAGTGATGTTCTGTACTATTATATATAACACGGGATTTTTAATGCACAGGACATATTCTAAAATAAAGGCTCTGCCAAAGGAGACCAAGATTAATCACTACATAAGAACAATATGAACAAAAGTGGTTTAAAAGTAAGAGTTTATTTGACAATTCACAAGTGATTTGCAAATTTTATGGATTAGTTGGAGCCAGATTTGAAAACCAGAAGCTCCTCTTTTCTTCCTGGAATATCTAACATGCTCTAATTTGTTGCCCAAGTAGTGCAAGTCATGTCTACTCAAGGAATTCAAGCTAATTTTAACTCAAACTAGAAATAAAAATCAAAGTTACCATACAGCATTCTAAAACCCAGTACAGAGAGTATTTTGTTGTTGTTGTCCTTATTTGAGATGATTTATACCAGAGATAATTTGTATACAGTGACCTGTTTATGAATCAATATGAAAAAGAATAAGGATCATTTAAGATTAACATAAATATTAACTCTCTAAACTTCCTATAGCAATGAAAACACAAATGCCATCTGGTCCTAGTGGTGAATTCAGTATCAAAATAACACATTTTAAAAAGATACATGTAATACACTCAAGCCTCTAGAGCTTGACTTTGAGGAGAGGCAGCTCAGCCACAGAAAAGGTAATAAGCCAAGTTCTACTAGGAAAGAGTGACCCCCTCCCCATCCCTATAGCTTTTTAGAAATGACAGCTACATGGAAAACCAACCAATATATTAACAGAATGGTATGTAACATTTAATTGAATAATATGTCAAGAAGAAAAGTGAAGCTATTTTCATAAACAGCATTTGAGGTTTACAGAAGACAGATATCATCGTATGTTGATCCTATTTCTATATTTTGTTTCAGTTGCACAGTTTTGAGAAATTTCTGATTCACATTAAGAAATGGTAACTGGTTGTAATGGAAAAAAAAAAAAGAAATGGTAGTGGTTCTTTAATAGTTCACCTTGAAATACCAAGATGCTCTTCAATTTACCAGAGATGGCTTGATGTTGGCATCTGCACAAAAACAGTTAACCTGGTACTGATGTTTGCCAGATTTCAATGTTTTAAAATGTTATAAACTGCATATCTGAGTTTGTTCATTTTTAATTTTATGTTAAAATATATCAATCAAATATTAACAAAAGGTCTCAGCAGAACATACTTGCAATATCACTGCCTCAAGACATGAGTTGCTGTGTCAGTTTTTTTAACCTCATTTGAAATCTGCTTTCTGAAACTCCACCCTGGGTTCCATGAGTCCCCCACTCTGGCTGTCTACTCATCACTCTTGGTTTCTTTTGTAAACTCTTGTCTTACACCTGGCCCAAAGTGACATTTTCGTCTTGTAATCACCCCAGTTTTCTTGCCTTCAGTTATAATTACATAGGCTGACAATCCCCAAATATCTTATCTCCAACTCATCAATTTTTCTCCTAAGCCCCAACCAGAATCATATTTCCACTCGGATATTCCACAGGTACCTTAAACTTAAAACAGATCTAACCCATCATTCATCTTGTTTTGCTCTGCCTTCACCAAACCTAAGCCATTCCCCATCTTGAATTCACTGTCTCAGTAAATGGGATTGTTCACCTGGTTGTCCAACTTAAGAGGCCTAGGAATCAGCCTGTATTCTTTTTTTTTTTGGCCATCTACTGATTCTACCAAGAATCCGTACTCATTCTACCTCCCAAATACTCTATGAATCCATTTCACCTTCTCTATTCCAGTAGAGTTGCATAATGCAGCCTCGTAACAGAGACTATTGTGATCTCTAGAGCTATCTAGACTCTATTTTCTTTTTTTGGTCATGCCATGTAGCATGTGGAATCTTAGTTCCCCAACCAGGGATCGAACCCCCTGCCCCCGTAATGGAAGTGCAGAGTTAACCACTGGACCACCAAAGGGAGTCTCAATACCTAGATTTTTAAACCATATATTTTAACACTACATTACTTCTTTACAAAAATAGTTCTTCAATATCTCCAGATGATAAAACCCATATCTTTCATGTGCTTAAAAAGTCTTTGCTGATCTACCCTTTGCCTACTCTTCAATCACTATCTTTTGCCATACACCCGTCCCTAACACCCTATGTGTCAGTATACTAACGCATTCTAATTCTCCGAATGTCTCAATGCTTTCATCCATCCAAGTCTTTGCACATGACACACTCCCTACAATTCTCTCACACCCCTTCTTACACTAGCTAGCCCCTACTCCTCCACCAAAACTCAGTTGGGGCCTCTTCTGGGAAAGATTTCTTGACTCTTCTTCGCTCTGGTCCCCCTCATACTAGGCTCCTGTCTATCACAGCACTTATGCACCGTGAACTGTGTTCTGCACCAAAGGATAAGCATCTCTCTTCACGTTTCTATTCCTGGGATAGAGCAGGAGCTTAACAGATGTGTTAGGTAAGAGAGTTGAAGGCACAACTTAAGAGGCCAATGGATCACTTACAGGTCTATTAACAAATACTAACCCCACAACTGTGATTTCCCAATGAGATGGCACCTTGCTCCATAAGACTTTTAAATTATTCCAGTTCAAACCCAACTCTTTCTTAAAAGGTTAAAGATAGAGTTACTGTATGATCCAGCAATTCCCCTCCTAGGTATATATTCAAAGAAATGAAAGCATGACTCAAATACTTGTATATGAATATTCATTGCAGAATTACTCACAAGTGCCAAAAGGTGGAAATGACCCAAGTGTCCATCAAAAGATAAATGGATAAACAAAATGTGGTACATCCATACAATGGAATATTATTCAGCATTGAAAGGGAATGAAATTCTGATATAAGCCATAACACGGAAACTTTGGAAACATTAAGCCCGATGCAAAAAAGACACAACACATGATTCCTTTATATGAGGGCTATCACCCATCTAAAGTACCTAGGGCCATGAGTTACTTCTGTGGCTGATCTAATGTCTTGTTCAACCTGAAGAAGCTTTAACGTCTGTGGAACCAGAACTGACCACAAAGTTACCCAGTGCTGATTGCAAAACCCACATCCTGCTTAGCTTCTAATTTAGTGTTGGGGGAGGAGTTTTACAGGTTTACAACTTACTTCACTAGGAACCTTATCGGGTAATTTGTCTCCCCAAGACCTTCATAAGTAGTTTGCTACTTAAATTTTACAGACTGAAATTGTGCATATGAAATGCATACTTTGCTTGGATTATCTGAAGTCTATAAATTAAAAATACTGGAGAGGAAAAAATACTGCATAAATATGACACTCACAAACAAAGTATGATCTGCAACTGACTGATGAGCATTGTGAATACCAAAGGAGGCTGCAGGAAGAAGCTCAAGAAAAGCAAATACAAGATTTATAGTTAGGAAGTGTCCTAACAGAGATATTACAGAGAGAAGAGGTAAGGCAGGCAAGCTCAAGGGGAAACTGTACCAGCAACATGAGCAAGATCTCCACCTTCTGACAGTGGACAGGGAAGCCAGACTGACTACTGGGACACAGCAGGTGCAATCATGTGAGCCTTTTCCCTGCATCCCCCCTCCAAAGGGACACCCCGGCAGGGACCCTATATGTAGAGATGAAACATCAAACAATTAGTACAGTGCCTGTCACACAGCAGACATTCAACAAACACCTAGTTCTATTTGCTTTCATTTTGAAGTTGTTGAGAAAACACTGACTTCTAGCCCTGTTTTCTGAAAGTCATTCCACTTAAGGTATAATAACCAAAAAAGTCATATATACAAGTCATATAGGTACAGCTTACTATATATTTATGCATATATAGTAACATAGTTATAAAGCACAGATAACAAGATAAAATAATGAATGTAGTTAGAAAAGATACCCACAAAAGAAATTTTTCTAAAAAACAGAAAAAAAATTTCTATATTACAGAATGGGCTTAATTTTGCATTTACTAGGCACCCATTGTCACTTAATTTGGTTTTATTAGGAGAAAGCAGAGTAATCTTTCTGTCCCTGGGTAAATCTGACGTGAAAATAATTGACAAAGTAGGTCAGAATGCCACAGAATGGTGAGTTCTGAACGTTATGTGTCATATTAGGTTATAAATCCTGACAGGCAAAAATGAGAGGATCTTTTGAAAGCCTCTGAAATTCATTAGGGCAATCCCAAATTGTTTAGTTAAAAGCAGCAGCAAGGTAGGAAATAGCACTTTACATTACTCTGGCTATCCTGACGTGTCTTAGATAAAATGGAGGGCATTATGCTCCTAGTCTTATGCTGGTCCTGGTTTCATGAAAAATATCCTCTCCTCACCCCATACACTCCTGGTATCCTCTGGAATATGTGCTTTAATCACAAGGGTACTTACAGAGATCAATGAACTGACTAGAAATCTATTGGGAGCTTATGGCCTTTCCCCTATTCTGGGTGCAATTTCTCTCCCAGGATCACCTGTTTTTGGTAAAAACAACTCCATCCTTTTTTATCTAGTATACTAAGCAGAAAGCACTTGGCAGTGAATGCTGATCAAGTCTTTTCTTGAGTAAAATTGTTAGTTACTTGAAGCTACTTTACAATATATAAACAAAAAGAGAAAAACATTCATTTCTTCAGTTCATTAACTATGCTTATTTCTGTAACAACAATACATCAGTTTCCCACAGAGAAAAACTGCCATAAAAATTAAAGGTCCAATTGACTATACTCCAGTACAAAATAAAAGGCTAAACAAAATTTAAGGTCCAATTTAACATGAATATTATTGAAAAATACATTCTCACAATTTAGAGTAAGGTGAATGATAAATCTGTTTCCATTCCAAAATGATCCCTTTCTAGTAATTTTTAAAGTGCTTTCTCACATGAAAATTATCTTTACAGCAAATACTGATTATAGCATAGTATCCTACTGGAGAAATTTTTTTTCTTAAATGTGTCATTCTCAACTACTTCTTACCTGAAAGTTTTCCTCTTTAAGATTTATATAAATTAATTGACTTCACAAAGGATAAAGGAACAATGCTAAATATCCAGAAGAAAAAAATTCAATGAAGATTATTTCATGGCTTCAATCACAATATCAGGATGTTAAAATCATTTGATATCAAACAAAAGGATTTCTATAAATAAAAAAACCAATAAACCACTGCCACCAAACAAGTATTTCCTCTGTCTCGCCTCCCGTTCCAGAGCTGTCAGAAAGTCAGAAAGGAGAAAGCGGCTGAACACACTCCGGAGTTAAGTAAAAACGTGGAAGACTGGAGCGCACATGTGAAAGAATACATTTAATTTTAACAAGGCAGAGAAATGAGTTTTAAAAGGTGGCGGTGGTTCAATTTTGAGTGTCTTAGTTTCACTTGAAAAAATGGTATAAGTTTTTCCTCTAACTGCTTCACAATAGGTTCAATGACAGCAAAACATTAAATCTATGGTGATGCTGGAGTTCTCCTATAGGGACAGAAGGGGTGCAACTTCATGGCCTTTTTTAATCTGCAGGAAGAAAGAGGGAGGAAAAAAGAGAGAAAAAGAGAGAGGAGAAACAAAAACTAATTTTCCAGGCAGGGAAATACTTATAAAACCTTTTATGTCAAAGTTAGGATTTCACAACATAACACACTAATGCAAAATCCAGTAGCACCTGTAAGATTTAAGTAAATGCTGCCATTACTTAAATGCTTCTTTAAAAATATCTGTAAAAGACTGAAGGGAAATAAGATAAAGTACATTCTTCAGAGAACAACAAAGGTATTTCAAAATAAAAACTGTATTTTTGTTTTTCTTTTTTTCAGTTGTCTTTTTGTACAAGAATTCAGTCATCACATAATAACTTTACACAATGGGAATCAATCTCTGCTCTCCTTCCCTGCATCACTTCCAGTCCACATGTTCAGGCTATAGTCCCCCAACATTATTTTCTGATAAATATATTACCACAGTTTGATCTAAATATAGACACATTATATAATATTTGTCTCTGGGAAAAAAATCAAATCTTAATATGCAAACTTTTATTTATATAATACAGAAACGGAGAAAATGACAGTAGGCACATAGCCTAATTATGACTTGTTGATGATGATTTCTAGGTACTCTCCTACTGTAAATGAATGTTTAAAATAGTCTTAATAAGAAGATTTTATTTATATGTGCACTTGTGTCCACCTTATCCCATATACTATACATGTCTAAAGACAATCTGGGAATTTAAAGGTGCAGCCCTCAAGAAATTGTTGAAATCACTAAAAAAAGAAAAAAGTAGACTCTATTGGAAAAGAAAAAACTCACAAAATTTCCAATTTTAAATTTCATATCAGTAGGAAAATATTAAAAATAATTTTCTGTATATACATATGAGTATATGTATATATTGAATTACACACATGTCTCATATATCAATACAATTCAAGTGGAGACATTTTGGTGACTTATTTTCCCATTAAATGACAACTATGTCAAAATTTAAAAATATCTTATTACATCATTAAAATAATTCACTTACCATTTCAATAGTTAACATTGTTTTTTTTCTTTAATTTTTTTAACTCTTCATAACTAAATTCCCTGATCCCTAGTGTTAAATCCCCTATTTAAATTAAAATATGGTGCTCTGTACTCAGAAACTGATGGATAAAGTCACATCTACTTCAAAATTCCATCAATCAAATAAATTTTATTACCTGATTTATCAGAGAAATAGCTCTGAGCTTGTGTACCTAAATTATCCTCCCTACAAGAAATAGGTGAGGAAAATACCCTAAAATAGATGGAGGTACATGATATTATAGCACATATAATACATGATGATTAAGTGTCTGATATAAACTTTTCAGAGACACCTGAAAACTCACTTTAGAAACTAACTTTAGAAACAAACCATTTATTTTTCACTCTAATATAAATTAATATGTATGTATTTACATACATACACATACATATATAAAACAAAATTGTCTGGTGTTGAGTAGCTGTGTGAGTGAAAAAATGGGTTACAAATTGATTAATCAGCTTAATTTTGTACTTAACAGTTCAATTGTTTTGGGGTACAAACAAAAAGTCAGTGCATTTGCAGACTCCACGGAGTCGATACTCAAGCATACACTTTAAAAAAGAACCCTCCTCAACATCACAAGCATTGTACAGCAAGAATATATGGACTCTGATGCAATTCTTACTCCATAAGCAGACTAGACAGCACTTGACTTACTTTTAAAATAGCTCCTTAAAAGAAATATATAAGGAAATGCATGTTTGCTAAAAGTCCTTTAAAATTACATCAAAACAACATTAAAACCTGTTCACTGAGGAGAGCCCACTGAATTGAAATCCTGTTTTGAAATGCCTAGTTAACAGTTTAGAATATTGCCTTGTGAGGATTGACTAGAGATGTGGTTGATGCGAAGACCCAGACAGAGTAAGCGGCTCCAATCCCAATAGTCCTCTGATTGGCTGCTTGATGGAAATGGATGGCCTTTAAAATAGCTATACACCTTAAAATGATCTATAATAAACAGTTCCCCAACAACCATTAGTATTTGTAAATTGAAATGCATTAATCATTCAGAAAAGATTTCTTGCAAAATATATAAATAAATGTAACTGCATATTCTGTAAATATACTTAACATTGCTAGACCAGACCGTCAGTGACGGCTGCTGTATTTCAGTACTGTGTGTCAAATTTATTAGAAATTTAAAAAGAAAAATTTTGGAGGGACTCAGCTGCCTTCATTAGTTGGCTTTAAAATGTGTAATAAAATGGGAGACAGTATCTTTTCATAAATACATGGAATCAATATGGAAAAGTAAACTATACAGCAGACAAGATTAGAGAACACCAGAGTGTATCAGAGTGGTCAGCAGGGTGAAATATCTTCCAGTATAAAAAAAGGGAAGAACTCTATACACCCAGTTATAGTGTGTTTCAATTAAAGATGCAGCTCTCTTTCACTCCTGGCAAGAATTAATTGGTAATGGCACTGCCTTTGGCAGTGCAAAAATATCCTGAGAAATTATTCAGATTACAACAAAAGACAGGGCTTTCATCACTAAGTTTTTGCACAAAACACAGCTTTAGATATCATAAATAAATTAATTTAAAAAGCAGATAACCTTCACTGTGTTGAACACAAAAAGGGGGATGTGACCCAGACATTTGTTAATTCTCCCATTGGCTAATATCAGAAAAAAAAGATTGCTTTAAGTGTCTATTTATAACTTTCTAGTTAACTATGGCCAATAATATACATGGAGGTAATTTGTAGTTCAAGTTTTTCATCTCTTTTTTTTTTTTCCCCAACTAGCTACAAGCTGAATTCTAAAATTTACACTGAAATATACAATTCCAAATTTTCAAAAGATCCTCCTCGTGGAGAAGAGATATTCAAATTTTTTTGTGCAATCTTGATGCGGAGCCCAAACAATCCTATGAAGAGAGACAGTATCTTTTTTAATCAATTGGCACTGAAATTTAACTTTCCTTAGCTGCGTTCTAGTAGCTTGGCCAAGTTATCTCGCAATTCTGTTAGTTCAAAGATTTTTCCATCAAGGATTTCTAACAGGGTCTTCAGGTTATTGCGAAAAGCTTCTTGTTCATTCTGACTTTTCTCCAGACGTTGCTCTAAGTCAGACAGTTGTCCCTCCAGGTCTTTGTTCCGAATTTCTACTTCCTTTAGAAACAAAAGTGTGATATATATATGTGTGTCAGTTGAAGATTTAAGAAACAATATAACTTTCATTATTAGAATACTGTGACAGTCCATGCAGTTTGATAATCAGGATAAGCTTCTGAATCTCAACACAGCGTAAGGAGGTTTTTAGATTGTCCATGTAGTTTTACTGACTGGCTGCTCATGAATCCATCTATTCCCCCAGTACAAATTTCCTCCCTGCCTGCTTCATGTCAGGCAACATTAGTCTAGGTACTTCAAATACCAAGACAGGACTGGTGACCCATTTTGTGGATTAGGTACATCTCATTTCTATTTGTGCCCGCCTCCTTTTCCTCACGCACAACTGTTAGCAATCTCAAGTGAAAGCAGGCAGAAAAAAAAGACAAATTAACTTTTTCTCTTTCTTGGCAGTGCTGGAGAAAGATTTGGAGAAGGAAATGACTCTCTCAAATCTAGGATCCTCTGAATATGTTAATTATTCTTCGTTTCACCTCAGTCAAACGAATGTGTACAGAGAACTGTAGTGAATACCTGTACATGTAAGAGAATTAGACAAAAACAATTCCAATATACTGCAGATTAAGGGAAGAAAAAAATGACAAAAGGAAAGCCAAAAGTTCATGACAACAAAAATTTTTTAAACTTTAAAAATAAATGCCAGAATTCCTGGTGTACTTACAAATTATTTATAAGTTACTATATACTGTATCTAAAGGATAGTTGATTTTTAAAAAATTATTTAAAGAATCTGGTAAATGTTAAATGCAAATAACAGAATATGAAGCAGTGTACTGACTACAATGAGGCAAAGCTTGTGTGTGAAGATGAATGATGGGCATTAAAGTACACATAGAAAATAGGAAACCCTTCTGGTTGTTGAGACTATGTACACTTCTTTCCAAAATCGTTATCCTACAATGCCTGCAAAATTAAACTTCTAAGAAAAATAATTGGAAAACTGATTTGAATGCATATAAGAAAGTAACCATTGATTTAGCACTCCCAGCACAAAGAAATATTCACATGTTTAACTAAGAGCAAGCCTCAAGCAAAAACACACCACAGATGGGTCGCAAGAGCCTGGGAAGACATAAAGAAGGAATGGTGCAGCTATAACGACTTTTAAAGAAAGAACTTAGAGATTTCCAATCAATCTTATTTATTATTAGATGTTAACCACGTATGTTTCTAATCTTTTCCCTTCAAATCACCTACAAGGTGAAGATAAGTAAAATGACAACAGATTCTGAAACCAATATGATATTTATAAATTCAGAAGCCAAGTTCATGAAGTCTCTAAACCATAGGGGAGTGAACAGACCCCGGGATCAAATATAAAAATTCCACAGCACGCTCTCTGACCTGCTCAAACAAGAAGCTTAAGATTAGAATGTTTCCAACTGTAAAAATAGACCAAATGTCATTCACGAGAAAACACCCACTTTACCAGGCACCACCCAGTTTGCCCTCTAAAGGCATCCTTAGAAAGTGAAAGGCTTCTTTGTTCTCCTTGCCAATCAATGAAACAGCCAAACATTTTCAGTGGAAACAAGCAAAACGGCAAACTCCCCCAGCTATTAAAACGGCACTGTTCTTCTCCAGGAGTCTTGTGCTCTGAGCCACTTCTCTGATTGAAGGAATGTCACCAGGCCTATAACAAAAGGGATCCAATCTGATGCTGTTGGTGCTGTGGTCTATTCAGAGAATAAGATCCCAGAGGAAGAACAGACAATGTAAGAGCAGGATGAAGCAACCTGGTTGGGGGCATGTCCCAGTTCTATCTTCTGTCTATACTTTCCAGCCCTTCTTCTTAACTTTTATTCCCCCTCACCACTCATTCTTGTGCTTATTATGATTTTTGTGCTTCTGTTTTCCTTTCTTCTTTAACTGATATGTGAGCATATGTCAGGGCACCAAGATAAAGCACTGATAAAACGCTGAGGCCAGAACTTGCTAAATCCTTTTGCGTGCTTTCGAAGGCAAAAACTGAAAGTATAAAATGCTAGTGGGCAGAAGGTCATGCTCTGTATTTGTTAGATATGGAGCTTACAACACTCGAGTGATTAAAAAAAAATTAAACAATTATTACCACCATCAATGGGACCAGATCAGGTTCATTTTCTATAAATTTGAATCATGCATCATTTAATCTAAATAAAAGCTACAAAAATTTGCCTTTATTGATATCAGATTCACATCTTGAACTCTTACAAGATATATTACTGTCCTATGAGATTGTTAACCTTCACATAGATCATACATGATCATACACAGATCATCCAAACATGTATTAATAATTTAACAGAAAAATGGCTAAAAGACACACATATTTTGAAGAAGAGTTACTCAACAATTATTTACTGAGATGTCTTCTAAGTAACTAGGCTTTGAGAATGAAAGTTAGTCACTCAGTTGTGTCTGACTCTTTGTGAGCCCATGAACTATAGCCCACCAGGCTCCTCTGTCCACGAGATTCTCCAGGCAAGAATACTGGAGTGGGTTGCCATTCCCTTCCCCAGGGGATCTTCCTGATCCGGGGATCAAACCCAGCATTGCAGGCAGACTCTTTACCAACTCAGCCACCAGGGAAGCCAAGGCTTTGAGAATAAAGTAGTAAATAAACAAAGACGGTCCCTGTGTTAATGGAGTGTGCCTTCCCCAAGGGGGATGCTGGTAAATAAGAAATCAACAGAACAGATGGAAGAGGGAAACTACTGTGTACACTGAAATCTTTCAACCAGCTTTCTAAAAGATATAAACCACTAATAAGAACAAATAAAACAATACAAATGCCACAAGTTCAACTAGAAGAAAGAGAACAATACAAATGTGAGGTTACCTATAATTAGGAGATATAAGCACTAGCTTCTCGCAGAGATACTGCTCAAGTTCTTACTCTAACTCTTTGCAGAGGGCAAGGCAGGGTTGAGGGGGAAACACAGAAGAGGGAAGAGGAGAATGAAAACCTAAGACTGAACCCTAATAACTCAAAGAAAGAGAAAGACCACTCAAAGTGCCAAGATCCTGGGAGAAAACAAAAAGTCCTGCTAGACCAGAGCGAGCTACAGGAGGCGACCTCACAGGGAACACGGGCCTTGAGGAGGTCACCTGGAAAGGCAGTATTTCTGAGCAGAGAGAGTGAAAACGAGAAGATGGGGACTTCTCTGGCAGTATGGCGGGCAGGAATCTGCCTCAACTCCTGGTCTGGGGAGATTCCACCCAGCAGGGGACTCCCTGCCCGCAACTGCGCCCACGCCCGCCAGCGGAGGTGCCCTCGCTGCCAGGACCAGGGAAAGCATGAGCAGAGCAGGAAAAACTCGGATCACCGAAAGTAAATTAAAAAATACGAGACCCGTAAGAAAATAAAAAGAGAAAGAGGCTCTTGGGGACAGCTAATCATAAAATAAAAGGTCCTTCCACTGGAAAATTCATTTAGAAAGTCCAAAAATAATAACATGAGCAAAGGTATACCAGGCAGGCATTCTGACAGCCATAGAAAAAGCAGCAAAGAAAGACACCTTCGATGCTGAAAGCCATACACAGTGAAGATACCACAATTATGTTTATGTACCAAGAAACACAGTAGCCATCTTTACAAAGTAGAAACTACAGAAGCTGTAAGGACACACAGAAAAAAAATCACTGATAAGAGCTTTTAATATGCTCCTCTCAATATAGGACAGATTAAGAGGAACAAAAAAATGGTAAGGATGTAGAAGGCTTAAATTACAAAATCAATAAAGAGCATTCACAAGTTGATCATATGCTAGACTACATAAAAAAAGCGGTAAATTATGCAAAGCAGAAATTATATAAACAAACCCTTGTAATCACAATGCAGTAAAACGAAATCATAAAATTAAAAGACCCTTCCACCAGGATATTAAAACATGTTCCTTTAAACATTTCCAGCATGAAAGGGAAGACCAAATTACAGAATTTCAAGACCTAATGATAATGAAAATACTGTCATAATTTATGGGACAAATTAAAGCAACGATCAGAGGAAATCTATAGTTTTAAACACAAATAAATAAAAATGAAAGCAATGGAATTAAATTCCCCTTTCAAAATGCTAGAAAAAAAAACTAAAAAGTAAATCAAAACAAACCATAAAGCAGGTATAATAAACAGAAGAGTAAAAATTCATTAGGTAAAAGACAGAAAAATAGTAACACTGATTAATAAGTCAGAATTTCATTTTTCAAAAAACTTAAAATAGACATGAAAGTGAAAGTCACTCAGTCGTGTCCGACTCTTCCTGACCCCACGGACTACAGCCCACCAGGCTCCTCTGTCCATCTAATTCTTCAGGCAAGAATACTGGAGTGGGTTGCTATTTCCTTATCCAGGGAATCTTTTCCACCCAGGGATTGAACCCAGGTCTCCCGCATTGCAGGCAGACTCTACCAACTGAGCCACCAGGGAAATCTAAAACAGACATACTATTACTAAACTTAAGAAAGACAAGGATAAAGAACTATATAAAATAAGAAATTACAAGAGTTTCCATTGAATATCTGAAAACCCAGATGGAAAACTTATACAGGCCAATATCTGCAGAAGAAATAGAGAGCAATCAAGGAATTAAAAAAGCTCCAGGCCCAGACAGTTTCAAACGGGAGTTCTATTAAACTTTCAAAGACCAGATAGTTTCAATATGACATAAATTATTCCAGAGCATAAGAAAATAAAGAAAATCTTCCAAATTATCTTATGAAGCTAGTATAACCTTGACACCTAAATTGTATAAATTCAGCCCCCACCTGAAAAAGGAAAATTACAGACCAATATTACAAATGAATACCATATAAAACTATAAATAACAGGGAACAAAAATCTGACACCACATTAAGAAAATGATACACCATAGCTAAGTGGTATTTATTTTAGGAATGCAAATGTGGTTCAGTTTTAGAAAAGTCATTAATAAAATAAACCATATTAACGAATCTGGGGGAAAAACTATGATTATCTCCATTGGTACTAAAAGAGCT